GTAGCCTAATTTTGAAAGTAATTGAATTGAAAAAAAAAAATTGAATTAAAAACAAAAACAAAAAAACATTTAAATTAATAAAATCTCATAACTCCATGGCCATTATTATAACAACAAAATACATTTTTCTAGTCATGCCAAGATCTAAAAAATATTTTATTATGTAGAAGTTGTGAATAACAAATCCTTAATCCATATCCAGGATGTCTGAATATTGCTGTGGACAATTGAGGACCTTGAGTCAAAACGATTGAGAACCATAATGCTTAAAGCATTATAGATAAACCTCTGATTGTGAATTGTCCACGGAGGACAACGTAATTATCAGACGTTCTTTACTGGACTTGAATAGCATTGATTTGAATAGCTCACTTCATTTACTTCAGTGAGGGTTAGATTCTTTATAGTGATAATTCGTACTGATGCCAGTAAATCGTTATTTTGAGTCCGATCTTTTTAGTGAATCAGTTGAACCGTTACACAAAAGAAGTCTATAGAATTTGTTCCTGAATCAGTCTGATCAGTTCTCATAGCTCATTGAAGCAAGAAGCGTTTCATTTGAACATGTCTGTCTTGTGAGTCACTGACTCTTTGAACTCAGAAGCGAATATTAAGTATTTTGAAGATTTGACTGATGTAAGTTACTTTAATAGCTGAATTATGAAAATGTTGTGAATAAAATACACTGCAAATATATTTGAGACTTGACTGTTAGAAACTTTTATTAGCATATATATGAAAGAGAGTTGTTTTTAATTAACAGCATTTTATTATCATTTTTGTTTTCAGCTGAGATCTAAATACAAATCATATTTAGGTTTCTAAATTACTTTGTTTTATATGAGCTGAATCATGGCTGCAACAAACTGAACTGGGAAATGTGAAATTACAGCAAACACTGTTACAAATAAAACAAAATCAAAAAACTATAATCACCTACACATGGCTTTATTGGAACATTTTTGTGCATGTAATATCTTACACCAGGATATCAGGGACCACATAGTGACATAAAAGAAGCGAACAAGCTGTTCGAAAGAACCAATTCATTTAAATCATGTTTTATGCTCCAGTTCCTTAGAAAGTCTTTCCCCGCCATTGACCGAATTTGGAGTTTTTCACTGTTATACAGTAGGAGGCGCTATTACACATCTTCTGATAGAGTACTGAATGTCTGGATCAAAACACAGTGAAGAAGAAACAGAAACAAGCGGTTGCGTATGCAAGCAGATGCATATGTAAAATAACGCGATCATCAATCATTAAACAGCATGTAAATCAAAACTGCCTAACGTTACTGAATGAAATGTCGACTCAGGAAGTGTTTTAGGACTGTGAAGCTTTGGATGTGTTGATGGAAGCGATCGACTCCATCTGTGTTTTGATCATCCATCTGAATCCGATCCAGACGTGGTCTTTGACAAAAACGTGATTTTCTCAGCTTTTTGTTCAAAATATTGCCCTTTTTTTTAAATGAAACTTACCCACATTCAAGTGTTGATAATAAAAGAATGCATGAAGCTAGAATAAAAATTCTGTGTTTTGATCATCCATCTGAATCCGATCCAGACGTGGTCTTTGACAAAAACGTGATTTTCTCAGCTTTTTGTTCAAAATATTGCCCTTTTTTTTTAATGAAACTTACCCACATTCAAGTGTTGATAATAAAAGAATGCATGAAGCTAGAATAAAAAATTTTTTGTTTAAAAGCAGAGCTCTGTTCTTTATTTTGACATATTGCATGTTTAGATATTCATGAAAGTTTTGTGAAAATGATCAAAAATGCTGGTGGGGGCTGGCAACTTAAAAAAAAAAAACGCTGGCGGGGAGAGAGTTGCTGAGTTTATGTAGCAACACCCATTTTTACTCATGTTTGCTGTTTGGCAAGTGTTAATTTTGGACCTTGCTCACACAGATACACACACATTTACACAGACTGCTGACCTAGAGCATCTCACCATGTAGATGTGAGAGGATAAGAGTGCGGATTACAGTGGTAACCCCACCAAGGGGACTTACATTGCTATTATTACCATACTGCTGATAACAGGAGGAAGAGGAGAGGAGGCTGGGCTTACATTTTTCCTATATGGTGGAGTATATTTTGCATCTTCATTATTATAAATTCTCTCTTGTTTCTGAACTCACTCTTTTTAGGACCTATAACTAGTGGACCCAGAAAGTGTTTGGACACTGAAGTCACACTTAAAAATGTGTGAATGTCACTGCATTATTTACAAAATATCAAACCAAGTGGCATTTGCATACAAATGATTCTAGACCTTTTCTGAAAACGAATGTCACTGAGCCGTTCTTACAATTACTTTTAACCAATTGGTGTCAGTGACACTTTAGACACATTAAACAACCAGAATGCATGCAAATAATTTTGTGCCCAGATATTTTATCTTAATTTTGAACAACATATCCATTATTTTATAGTTTGAACCAGACATTGTGTGACAGATGCACTACTGTTCAAAGGTTTGGGGGGGCGGTAAGATTTTTAGATGTTTTTGAAACAAGCCTCTCATGCTCACTAAGGCTGCATTTATTGAATCAAAATACCGTAAAAAAAAACAGTAATATTACGAAATATTATTACAATTTAAATATGGGATTTAAATAAAGTGTACTCCATTTACATACTGCATGTTAACATGATTTAACAAAATTAAAGAAATAAACGGACATTTAATCGATTAATTGCAGAAATTATTACTCTACCACCTGCATGTGATGTCATTAATAATATTGTTGAACCAACATGGTTCACAGTGTGAACAAAAACAAAAACAGGTGTGAACATGTTTACTATGATCTCGGGAAATGTTTTATTGCGCCTTTCCTAAATAAAACTAAGAATAAAAAAAAAAATAAAAAAAATCTTAGTGAACCCGAACTTTTGAACATTAGTTTACTTAATATTTTGTCATATAGTGCAAAGACATTCATGCATTTTAAGTCTGACTTAAATGGGACTGCTATAGACACACTGTTTGATCGCTCTATCCATACATCTTTGTTAAACGAGTTGTGTGGATATCTGACCAGGTTTTAAATTTCATCATAAACAGCTGCACAAACTTGCACCAATCACCGATTCCTTGCGCGGTTGCAGAGCTAATACAGTATAAATATTGAAATTTATATTGAATATAAGGTTACGCTTTATTTTACAGTATGTGTACTTACAGTGTTCTTACCCAAGAAAGTATTGTTAAGTATAAGGTAATTACATGGGTTAAGGTTAGGTTTAGGGTAGGTTCAGGGTCAGTACCCAGTTATTGTAACTGCTAAAATACGTACATAGTATGTATATGTGGAACAGGGCTGTAAAATAAAGTGCTACCGAATATAATTTAAAGGCAGAAAACATATCAAAATATATAAAACTATATGTTTCAGTTACAGTTAAAAGACATTTTCATTGGTCCTAGAATAGAGCCTTGTGGGATCTTGTTCCTGCATTCTTTTCATATCCACTTTTTATTAAAGTACATCGCCATGGGCAATTCACAGACAAACATGAAAATGGAAAAGAAGTAGCATATCTGTCCTCTAGTTTTTCTCTTTTATCCTCTTCAGAGTTCTGTCCTTTTTTCCAGCAGTCACTGCGGCAACAAGAGCATCTCCAGATAAACACGGCAAGACAGAGATACAGGGAATAAGAGACAAAAAGAAACAAAAAAAAGAGAGGGAAGCTATCGCTTTAGTATTGCTCTTCGGCTCTGTGTGTGTGTGCCAGTACGTGTCTATCCACACGCACATGTATTGTAGACAGAACTCTTACAGCATAGTTTAGTCTAGCCCAGGTTTTAAGGGATGTTTACTCCCTGCCATGTGAAATCCTGAGCTTCCGACACAGATTCTTTCTCACTTTATATCAATAAACAAAGCTACATATATGCATTTGACTGCTATATGCCTGATTCAGGCCCTCAGGTGTGTGCTTGTGTGTTTGAGAGAGAGACAGAAAGGAACAGAGCGTGCCAGTGGGGAGTCATGACGTTTAAACATCATCTATCTTTGCCTCTCTGAAGTCCTTGCACTCAGGGATCTGGCCTGTCAAAACATACACTCCCAACTGCTGCACAGGGCACAAAGACACACACACAAACACTCTCCAGAAACCTGACTCATTCAGTCATCCCTGAAACAGCGGAGATGCCTAGAGAGAGACTGAGATTGAAGATGTCTCTGCTTTAGCAGTACTTTTTGAGCAAATGTCTGTGCTTAAACAGCTGATATAGAAATACAATTTTCTAATATTTAAAAGAGTATGTGAAATGTAAATAAGTGAATTATTTTAATTGTTATATAATTGACAGACACATGGCTTTTTAATTAATATTAAAATGTATATATAATATGTACTATATATGAATAATTATATATATATGTATACGTGTGTGTGTGTGTGTGTGTAATTTAACAAATTAAATAAATTATAATTTATTATAGAATAAATCTATAATATTTATCAATTAATATAATTATTACATCAAATTATTATAAATTGTAATATTTCAATAATAGAATCAATTTCAATTGTAAAATCTATCTATCTATCTATCTATCTATTATTTAAAAATATAAATGTGAAATGCATATATGTAAATAAATATAATATTTTTAATCGATAAATTCTTGACAGCTACATGGCATTTTTTTATTTTAATATGTATAGAAACACACACACACACACACACACACACATATCATATATATATAGTTTTATGTCAATTATTTCTTTTAATAAAGGAGTGTTTTAATAGAATATCAGTTTTTGCTGTGATATCTAAATTGACATATAGTAGTCAACATTTGAAGTGGATCAAAAAAATTCATCAAAGTTGTCCTAAAACCTAAAACCAATTCTTTTCTTAGGACAACTTTGATTAACTTTTTGATCCACTTCAAATGTTGACTACTGTATAGCATTGCGAAATCTCACGTTCATTTCTATTGTAAGTGTTAAAACTCTCTCTTTCTTCCAGATCCTCCTTCTTCAGTCTTGCTTCCTGATGCACTTCCTCCAGCACGCAGCTCCACGACTCCTCCACGCCCATATACGGGCACGCTCCGCCCCTCCCTCACTACTACCATGACAACCACCATGGCTCCGCCTCGCCGTCATAACAACATCCTCCCAGGAGCCCTGACACGGTCGCCTCCATCCCTGCAGACTCCAGTCGCTGTTGACTATTGCGCCCCACGTCTCACTGCTGAAATCTCCTGGCCACGGACACACCAGGGACAGGTTGCTAGGCAACCGTGCCCACCTGGCACCATAGGTTAGTAAGAGAGTGATTAATCTATTATTAGGGGCAGTGTGTGCGCGCAGAGGTTTATTTTGTTTAATGTGTATCGAATACATCAACTCTTAGGCTAAGCTCTGTGTGTGTGTGTGTGTGTGTGTGTGTGTGTGTTGCGCTCTTGGAAAGATCTGATACACTTCAACAGTGCAACAAAGCTCCTGATAAAATTGAATTCGTTATTCAAACCTGTAATTAATTTATCATCCCAGTGTTTAGAGCTAAACTCTTCATTAGTAATTCTTTATAATTATGTTTAACAATAGGAATTCTCGCAGTACAAATAATTACATAGTAATTTATTATTTAACCGAAATAAAGTGGTCCCTAAAAAATGTGAGAATGTCTCCACAATATGTAACAAAATTCAAAACCAAAGTGTAATTCATTAGAAAGATAGAGATTTTAAAAACATTTGCAAAACATTTCACATGGACTCAAAATAGTTCACCCAAAAATCAAAATAGTTCACCCTCATGTTGTTCCAAACCTGGATGACTTTCTTTCTTCTATGGAATATAAAAGAAGATATTTTGAGAAATGTCTAAATGTTTAAGAGGTTAATTGCAACCAATAACCATAAATAATAAAAGGACCGTAACTGAATAAACATTAATAAGATTTAAGAGCTGCTCTGGATGAGCAGATTATCGCTTACTAATATTAATGACAAATGAAATATGAAATTTTTGGTTGTTCTTCAATGCTTCAGAAGATTTGGAAGTCAAAAGGATCACTTCATGGTCTATTGGTCACCATCCAGTTTCATTTTATATAAAAAAAAGAGGTGCATTAACTTTCTGTTGAAATCTTCCTTTGAGTTCCATGGATAAAAACAGCATATAGGTTTGGAGCAACAAGAGGGTGAGTAAATAATGACAGAATTTTAATTTTAGGGTGAACAATCTCTTTTAAGTGTGATTGAAGTATGACAAATACTTGTTCAAGCCACTGTATGTGGACATGAACGTGTAAAAGTTATGAGAGGTATGTATTTACCTCTGTGTATGTTGAGTTAATATTTAAAAAAACGTATTTCCTGTTACTGCGGTTAGCTTGTTCAGGTGTTCTGTCAGTGCCACCTCATTATGTGGGCAGCTGCCAGCTGTTGATTGACACATTATGTACCGCTTGTAAATCTCTCACCCTGCTTGTGTGTGTGTTAGCTTTGACAGCAATTGCAAGGCCATGTTTTTCTCAGTGTGGATGTGCATATGCCTGAGCGAATGTGTGTGTGTGCTGTGTTCATGTTTTTCTTTATTATTATTTTTCAGGTGTAGCCACGTTTAATTGTTTGCTTGGCTACTGGGATCCGAAGGGACCAGATCTGAGCAACTGCACCTCACCATGGACCAATCACATCACTCAGAGAGTGAGTAAAAACATGGCACCATGGGAAACAAGCTAATGGCATATCAGCCTATTTAAAAAATTCAGTGGACAGCGATATGCCTATAGCAGATATTCTTAAAGCATAATTTGGCCTGAAGGTTTTTTAACAGAAGGCACAAAAGCTTATCACAAAGAGCAGCCTGTAGCAAAACAGCTTTAGTGCACAACAAAATGAGCCAAAAATTCAACTGTCAATATCAGCTGCAATTTATTCCACTTTGCGGCAAAATTGCAAAGAGACAGCAGCGCGGCCAAAAGTGTCGTGCAACAGCGGCTTGAAATCATGTGGCATGTGTGTGTGTGAGTGTGCATGTGTGTGTAAAGTGTGATGATGACTGAAGCTTATCAGTAATGTGAAATGGATTCTTTCGTACTGCAGAGAGCAAATCAGAAAATAGGCAGAATCACAAATCTATGAAGCCATTTGTTCATCTACTTATTCGGCCATCAAGGGACAGAGAGAATAAAATCAATATGCCCACGTACATCTCTCTCTCTCTCTCTTTCTGTAGATGAGATCGGGAGAAACGGCTGCTATAGTAGCACGAGAGTTGGCTGAACAGACGAAGGGAGAGCTGAGACCCGGAGATGTCCCATCTACAGTCAAAGCCATGGCACAACTGGTGGAACTACTGGATGTACAGCTGCGAAATCTCACCCCGGGGGGAAAGGACACAGCGGCACGGAGCTTAAACAAGGTATCCGAGCTGTTAATAAACCACGTACGCTGTGCAGGTAGTAATTACACAATTATTACATGTTTATTACATGTTAATTACATTGCCTTTTCTTTAAGTTTGAGAAAGCTCATTGTATCAATGTGTGTTTTTGTGCGAAAAGGAGTGGGAAAGAAAGTAGTGCTCCAATTCTGTGCAGAGTACAGTGTTTTAGGCAGTAATCCTGATACAGCCCACAGATCAAAGGCTTTAAGGCCCAAATGGGAAAACATCCCGTTAAAAACAGCTACTGCTCGATAGACAGAAATCCGTACACTCACACACACTCTTCTAAATAAGGACACACAAATTAAAACAGCTCATGAAGCCCCGGTGAGTTTGTCAAATTAACAAAAGAAGCCCCGACATAAAAGAACAACAACAAAAAAAAACTTCAAAGTGGTGAAACGCGCACGCCGACTGCACAGCAATACACATATGCACAGATGAATTTGTGAGAAGCATAATGAATGTCCTGTCAGACATCTAATGCACACAAATATATATATTATGCATATCAAAGAACTGGTGGTTCACGACCCAAAACAAGTCACAGGTCTGTTCATAGAAGAAACAATGCTTAGTGAAAATATTCAAATGCAGCTAACTAGGAGTGTAACGATACACTTATCTCATGATTCCGTTTGATGATACTGATGTCACAATGTACTCTCACAATACTTTAAACAAAGCCAAAATAAAGACAAGTTAAAAAGGAACTTAAAAATGAACTTTTAAGACATATGCTAAACAGTTAACAGAAAGTTATTAAAAATGCTCAATTTAATATTACATCAGAGCTGGTCATGAATAAGCTTGATCTTGGTCCTGGTTCCCAGTGCACGGGACAATTGTGACACCAGAATAGAAATATTAATTATTTTGCTTAGCTGAAAACATAGAATTATGCTCTGTCAGAGACTACATACATTTAAAAATTGTACATTAAAAAAAAAAATTAAAATGATTATCACTTATATTCAAATACTTTTAAAATACCTGTTTGATGCCAGTGCATATTTATCCAATAAAATAATTTACATTAAGAGAACAAACAAATGGCAATTTCCCTATTGCATTATCATGCATTATATTCAGTAGTTTAATAGTTTACACCTAGTATTAACAACAATATTAAAATTAAACTGGTGACGGCATGGTAAAGATAATTAACATCCATTCATCCTAAACAAAACCCAAATTACTGTATATTATATATGCTGAGAGCATTAATTACTTCAAATAGTTTTGAAAGCACAATTCCATTGAAATTCAAGACATTTTTTAAACCAAAACTGTGAATTTTCCTGTCACTCTTTTGCATCTGGTTGGACCTTTTGTGATTTATGATCATATTAATAAATTTCTACGCTTGGTTTTAAAGATATTTTCGTTTACTTTTGTACAACAAATTATTTTAGTCCAGGCAAAATCTGGGTGCTGACGCAAAAACCAGTTGAGAACGTTGTAAGGGCTTGCCCTCAACAGACAGCTCTGCTTTCTCTGCGCATAAAGCTGCAATAGGAGAAAGTATTTTAACGTCAAAAAAATTACACACATCACATTAAATGTATCTAAATCTAGAGCAGGGCATCTCATTCATTCTCTCAGGAGCCAGCTGAACACTGCAGGGCCAGAATATCACTTTACTAACTTTAAACATCCAGCCTGTCAGTTTCCTATTACCAGCATCCAGCTAAAGTTATCAATTACACAAACATCAGCTCATCTGCAATAAGACACAGTCAGACACCTCTGCTCCATTCAGACTTTATACGTCTCACTGGTGTTTGTTTGTATATGTACAGTATTATTGCCCTGGCAGACATGCAGGAATGTTTTGTGGCTACAGTTTCAGTTTCATTAGTCAACATGGTGACGGTAACTCAGTAACAGATTCATTTTGGTTCTAATTCTGCTCTGATACACAATAGAATCATGATTCCCTAATTATTTATTACTAAATTATTGCAGATTGTTTCAGCTAATTAGGCTTTATTTCTTATTGGGCTCTGAATTATTAAATTTGTGCTGTGATTTTTCATGTGTAGTTGTGTTTGTGAGTTATTGTTATTGTAATGTTTTAATATTGTGTCTTTCAGCTCCAGAAGAGAGAGCGATCGTGCCGTTTCTTCATACAGGTACTTTATTCTGTCCTTGCTTTGTATGTCGTGTGTGTGTGTGTGTGTGTGTGTGTGTGTGTGTGTAGACACACACATATTGCCATTGCTTTCTTATTCATGTTCCATATCACTTCAGCATCTACATAGATGTAAAGTTTTCAACATAAAACTGCTTTATACTTGTGTGGAGCCGTATGTGTCACAGCATATGAATCATATTGGCTGTTTGTGTGTGTCTGTGCGTCTGCACTTGTGCCCGTGGGCTGCATTTTTTGCATTTATAAAAGCAGAGCAATTTTTTCTCCTGAGAAAGCAGTAGTGATGTCAGCACTGGTCAGCAGTGTCACATCATGCGACTGATAAACACACACACACAGACAGACAGTGAAAAAAAAGCACAGAATAATGTAGATAAGCCCAAGAAAAGCTCGGCAGACTGAATAAAAGGAAAAGCATGAGAAGAACTGATTTAGAGGTAGAAAATGACTGATGCATATCTCAAACTGAGCCAGACCGCTCAGTCAACCCTGCCAATACATGACGGATTTATACTGATTTATACCCAATGAGATAATTGAGGTCTAAATGTTGCTCCAGTGTTCTGTTTTTAGTTATCATTTTTTAGTATTTTATATATTTATGTTTTATGATTGTTTTTTATTTTGCTGTATTTTATAATTTATTTTATTTTATGCACCAACCAGTGGCAGTTCTGACAAGATAGAACTCGAACAATTAATTGATTATTAAATAATAATAATAATTATTATTATTGTTGTTATTAATATTATTATTTAGGTCATTTTTCCTCTTTAAAATGTTTTACCCCTAGTAATTTTGAAAAATATGTTTTAAATCTTAACATGAGAGGAAGACTCCAGTCATATTAGAAGCCTAATAATTTTTTTTTTAATTGAGCAGGTCACCTCAAAGAATAGATTTTAAAAAAATAATTCTATATTCACAGAACAATTCTAAATTCACAGAATGCTTATTTATTTATTTTAAATCTGAGGGATTGCTTGCCGTTACAAATTGACACGTTTCTGTTCATGGCATTGATAACCAAAATCTATTCATTTTTCATGATCCTGCATCCACACCACTAGGTAGCATTAGTCCAAGGTGACTGCAAAGCAACTTGAACCAAAAAAATGACAGAGTGCATTTTCAAATACTCTGCTGAGATGAAAAAATGAGTCTATCGAAATGTCAATTGATCCTGCTGATTTAGACAGAGAGAATTACAGGATTCCATGACAACTGTCTGAAGCCTCCCGGTGCTGACATCAAGCAAATATGGATTCTCGGTGGTCATCTAATATGTAATGCAGTGTGTGTGTGTGTGTTTCTTCACGCTGGATTAGCTCCTCAGCTTCAAAGCACTTCAGTTCTGCTCCATTTACCAAGTCTGTGGAGAGTATTGCCGCTGTGTGTGTGAGGAAACAGTTTAAAAAAAATCTCTTATCTGTCTCCGCAGTACGAGCCCCCAAGTGCACACACACACACACACACACACACACTTTCCCCTGACCTCTTGACACAGTTTGTCAGAAGATTTCAGAAGCAGTTTTGTGAGGAAGTAAATATAACTCTTCCTTTTTTACCTTTTATCCCAATCGTCTCTCATCTCTGTCTCTCCTTTTTCTCTCTCTCTCTCGTAAAAGGGTCATTACTTTAGTGGTGTCAAAATGAATATACTCATCCCGCCTTTAACACACTCCCTCTCTCTCTCACACACACACACACACACACACACACACCGCTCTACTGTAACTGGTGCAGAATGATTCAACCCAATGGCCAGATTAGCCTGCAGCAAACGACAAAACATCCCTCTGTCCATCCCTACGGATGAGTGCACTACAGTGAGAGACGTTAATTACATTACATATCTCCTCGCCACAGATATTATACACGTTATATGTGCAGTAATAATAATGCAAGGTCATGAACTTCCATAGAGACATGATCTATTTTAAATAAAAGGAATTTGACCTGGAATTATTGTTAGCAGCGTTTTTGTGAAAGTGACAAATATATTTGGCATGCTTTGTGAGTCCATATGTTTATGTTGCAGCATGCTGCACTTTTTCAAATGAAAAGCAACATTGTAATGTGCCGCGATATACTCCGCAAGCTTTTTAATAAGCTACCACCTTAAGTCTTATTTGTATATCAAGGTTGAGGTTTTAATATCCCTGTGATAATATTCACTGCCAAATTTAAAAGGCTTAATATCTTAATATCACACTTTTTTAAAATACTCTTATATTAGTTTCCGCCGCACAGCTGAGACATTTCATTTTCCTATATAGTGCTCGTATAGAGCCATAAATTACCCCTTGCCTTGTGTGAACCTTTGTGTGTGAGCGTTTGCGAGGGTGCACAGTTTTACAGCTAGGGTTTAAAATGAACATTCACCAAACGCCAGATGCAAATAAAAATTGGCTTACATAACAGCCAGTTGGCCTTTTCTAGGAACTGCAAAATAATGCATTATTCTTTCTATTTACACAATGATCAGTGGCTGTTGAGCAACCAACATCTTTTATCTCAGTAGGAAATTTACTGGAATAAGTTTGCCTAGGAAGCCAACCATTTTTTTTTTTTTGTCTTTTATTGCCCAAAACTTAATGTAAAGACACATTCATGTAGAAACACATTCATGACATTAGCCTCCAAAACAACACTAATAATAAAATCGAAATGTTCACAATTTCAGCTTTTCTTTAAGAGATGCTGTGCATGACGGACTCGCTGACCCACTGGGAAACAGCTAATGTTTGTTTTTTACCACAGAAAAAAAGCAGGAATGACATGCACCTGTTCATCCTGGCTCACTTGATACCCAAGGTCAGATAAGACATGACTAAAGAACACTTAAAGACATGACTAAACAACTTAGCAGATTTTTAAAAAGTGTCTAAAAAGACTCATTTGTGCATTTTCATTTAGCATGCAAGGAGATACAGGTATAAAATCAAACCTATTACATAATAGTTAAAAAAAAAATATATATATTTTTAAAAGTCTTTAACTTGACAGCCAGTGACCACCTCTATTCTCATCATACTGTATAAAATGTAATTTAATTAATTAATTTTTATTTTTTATAGTGGCATTCACTGTCCACTTGGCTCAGAAGTCTGCATATGCACAAATCATTCATGATATTATATTTGATACTTTTGCAGCCTTTTTAAAGCTTGCAAGCTCCAGTCCCTGATAACTGTAATGGGAAACCAGTATACGGTCCTCAGAATTTCTCTTTTTGTATTCCACAGATGTAGGAAAGTCGTGCGGGTTTGGAGTGATGTGAGGTTGAGTAAATGATGACAGCTTTTTAATTTTTTGAAGAACTGTTCCTTTAATTTTTACTATTTACATTGACAGAGAAAGAATAGAGAGAGGAAGAAAGTGAGGGAGCCGGTGGCAAAGATTTGAAAGGTAATAAGGGAGGACATGAGAACAGCAGGAAGAACAATACTAAGGAGGAGACAGAATGAACGGAACATTACCAGAGACAGAGAGAGCGAGACAGACATATGCAGTGCGAACTGACTGAGTGGAAAAGAGAGGATGAACGGGAGAGGAAGAGAATAAATGAAAGAAAACAAAAAGATAGAAAAGAGAGAAATTGAGGAGGGGTGATGGTGTTCAGGGATCCATGCTAACTGCTCTATTCTGCTCCAGTGCTTTCACAGCGCAAAGGGGGAAATTTATCGTTCCTGGCAAACAATTTATCCGCTATTCCACCACTCAAGGCCAGTTCACATGCATCTCGTCTGAGAGAAATAGCTCTCCGTGGGATTGCCCTCTAGCCTAGCTTTTCCCCTTTCTCTCTGCATATTTCATCACTTGTGGGTTTTTTTTTTTGGCAGCTGATCATATGCCTTAGTTGTTTGGCCTTGATGTTTTACATGGTTGTTTTCGGAGGGGTTCATTAGTGGATAAGCAACATCAAAAAATTCCACCGACTTCTGTGTGATCTCTTTTATGCAAATCTGCGTGGCTAACTGAGCTATCGGTTAGCATTCATCTCAATGGCAGCTGCTCAGCTGGTACTAGACCCCTCAGAAGTGTACAATATTTGCTATCTTTGCTCATGGGCACTTAGATCTGCCAGTCACGTGAGCCGTAAATGCCACGTAACTAAGCACTCTGAAACCAGAGGAAAATAGCTGATGGCGTCACAAGAAACCCTTCACTGGTATTATCATTGGCTGGGATGTGAAACACAGTGGACAGGGGAAAATATAAATCCTTTTCAGGCATTTAAGAGCCCTCTAAAACAAAATTGGGCACTTGTAAACCATTTACTGTAATATAATTAAATTACACTTCTCAATTGTTGTCAGTGGTAAAAGAAGCTCACGGAGTAGGCCTAGTTCGCCTGTCGAGTTCAGCTAGACGTTTGTAATGCCTGAGCAAACAAAAATGTACAAAATATAAATATAAAACTGTAAGATGAAACATTTGCAAAGGATATAGACCTGCTGTTGTTAACTTAACTAAAAAATTAATAAAAATCTAAATTAATTAAAAGAAAGCTGAAATAAAGTACAATATAAATATTAGTAAATAAAAAAAATAAAAATGGTGCCTTGTAAGTACTAAAATGACTTAAACTAAAACTAAAATACAAATAAATTAAAGCTAAATATAAATATTAAAAACCTAACTAAAAAATAACAAAACTTACTGAAACGTAATTCAAATAAAAACAAAAAAATATAATAAAATGTTTAAAAAATAAAAAAAATAAAAATGGTGCCTGGTAAGTACTAAAATGACTTAAACTAAAACTAAAATACAAATAAATTAAAGCTAAATATAAATATGAAAAACCTAATAAAAATGATAAAAGTAAATAACAAAACTTACTGAAACGTAATTCAAATAAAAACAAAAAAATATAATAAAATGTTTAAAAAATAAAATAAAAGCTGTAAACTATTGTAACAGACTACTCAGCTGTCTAGTACACTGTGTGGTTAGCTCGCAAAATGTAAATTAACTATAAAAAGAATGAGATGTTTAATTTCACTATCTACATGTAGCTTCAGTTTATCCTACATTAATTGTCGTAATAAAAAAGTTCTGACAACACACAGTACATCATGAAGCAATTTTGTACAATTTTTAATCAGACTCTCGATAGAATACCAATTAAAAGTTCTTTCAGTCAATAGAATGGATAAGAGATTCTAGACATATCTGTCATATTGACGTAATTGTGCCGCGTCATTCAGCATGTTCGTTTCCAGTGTTTAGTACAACAGACCAAAAACTCGTTTTTCATTTTTCATGTGTATGTTTTTTTTTTTTAAATAAAAAAATAATCTTTGGAAAACCACTTGAGTTTATTCTTCAAAATATTTTTCAGCATGTTCGTTTCCAGTGTTTAGTACAACAGACTAGAAACTCGGTTAGCACATCATCGTACACATAAAAAAATCAGTCATGAAACATGGATTTATGCAAACGTACATATCTAATGTATTTTATGTGTCTTTTACATAAGCCTTAATCAAGAAATGAATAGCCTATGCAGAACTTCTTATAGATGCTTTTCAGCACTGAGCGCAAATCCTTTTTTGCCTTTCAGTAAAAAGAAAATAGTGTTTTTTTTTATCAGTATTTTATGTGTCTTTTACATAAGCCTTAATCAAGAAATGAATAGCCTATGCAGAACTTCTTAGATGCTTTTCAGCACTGAGCGCAAATCCTTTTTTGCCTTTTAGTAAAAAGAAAAGTGTTTTTTTTTATCATGTTCCACATTTTTTATTCTTCAATCTCAAATCTTAGCCGAAAGCTAATCTTAATCTCGCAGACAAAATCTCCCACCATTATCCGTTTATTCAAATGAGAAACGTATTCCTCCTCTCGCTCTCTCCCTCCTTTAAGGCTTTCTTTATGCTACGAGCTGGTCTTGTAAAATGAATGTGTACACTAAAGAGCGGAGAACATGTAGGAAATTGCTTTTTTTTAGAGAACGAATGCAGATATTGTCATATTTGGGTGACAAAAGATACTCTCTAAATCTTTTTAAAACAGAATACCAGAAGAACGATCCGAATGACTTGTCTGGTTTGAATAGAGCGTGTTTATAGATTACACTTGTGCACAGTTTTCTGTCATGAATGTGTACACTAAAGAGCGGAGAACATGTAGGAAATTGCTTTTTTTTAGAGAACGAATGCAGATATTGTCATATTTGGGTGACAAAAGATGCTCTCTAAATCTTTTTAAAACAGAATACCAGAAGAACGATCCGAATGACTTGTCTGGTTTGAATAGAGCGTTTATAGATTACACTTACTGGTCTTTGTGTGAATGTCCACAAAACTGGAAGACTTTCTGAATGTATATAAGCAGTAGGCTATTTTAGAAAGGAACATTTAAAAGAATTAGGGTGAATCAATAAATTATGGATAATTTACTGCCATTGTGTGAAAAATATGTAAGCATGTAATCAATAAAAAAGTAACTGTGATCTTATTAAGAGTATATCAAAATGTAATATAATCTAATTCCAAATACTTAAACTTGGGAATCTGATACATAATCCAGATTACATGTTATCAGTTACTACCCAGCACCTTCAGAAAACACAAGACTTCCACTTACAGTTCCCCTCCAGTCTGATAGGGGGCAGCATTTAATCGTGAGCATGTTTATGTTTTGCAGAACTGGAGGTGGCACGTTTGAGTACAGATGTTAATCTGGCTGATCTGATCTTCCCTCAATCTGGACAAACCGGCAACTCCATTCATCTCTCCACCAACACACTCAAACAGCAAGGACGCAATGGTAACCCTTACCAAAAAGTAGTATACTTCAAGGTTATTTTATTAAGTATTTTTTTTTTAAAGAAATTTGTATCTTTATTAAGAAAGGATGAATTAGATTGATGTGACAGTAAAGATAATACACATAAAATAATAAATACAATAATACAACATTTCTATTTTAAAAAATGCTGTTCGTTTGAACATCTATTCATCAAAGAAACTTTAAAAAATATAATTGTTTCCACAAAAATATTAAGCAGCACAGCTGTTTTCTATGGAAGCCCGTTTCCACTACTGAATAAAAATTTTAAAATACTTTTTATCTCACAATTTTGATTTTTTTTTACTTGCAATTCTGACTTTATAACTCACAATTATGAGTTTATATCATGCATTTCCGAGAAAAAAAGTTAGGATTACAAGAAAAAAGTTGTAATTACCTTTTTTTTATTTTTTATTCAGTGACGGCAATTGTGATAATAATAATAAATGTTTCTTGAGCAGCAAATCAGCATATTAGAATGATTTCTGAAGGATCATGTGACACTGAAGACTGGAGTAATGATGCTGAAAATTCAGTTTTGCCATTCCAGCTTTGACAAAAATTACAATTGAAAATATATTACAATAGAAAAGTTATTTTATTTCATAATATTACAGTTTTTACTGTATCTTTGATCAAATAAATGCAGCCTTGTTGAGACTAAGAAGCTTAAAAAAACATTAAAAAAACATGTTGTACTTTATCCTTTACCTAATACAGTAGATGCTTATATGGACCTTGACTAACATCCTTCTGTCTCTCTCTGTTTCTCAGAAAGCGGACCAGGTGCATTATGTGCTATTGCCCTACACCAACCCTACCCCTAAACCTAGCCCTTACAGGAAACTTTGTGCATTTTTACTTTCTCAAACAAACTCATTCTGTATGATTTATAAGCTTGTTTCCTTATGGGGACCTCAAAAATGTCCCCACAAGGTCAAAATTTACTAGTATTACTATCCTTGTGGGGACATTTGGTCCCCATAACGTGATAAATACCAGGTACACACACACACACTCCAGCTACATACAGAAAGCCCCACATATTCACACTTGATGGATTTAGATTTATTGCAGAACACTCACACAATTCCTTAAGTTGTTAAGTTGGGCACCTGACTCTTGTTAATTACAGAAATGGAGAGGGTCTTTGACCTCTCGTTAATAACAAAAACCTCATTGTGTCCTCAGAGAGAGCGAGAGAAGAGAATATAAGCAAAGACAAATGGAAAATGACAAAGATAAAATGCTGGAAATCCGTCGGGAAATTTCTGAAGTGATAACAGGGCAGATGAGTTAATACACAAAGCAGCGAGTCACAGATCACACAGATACTGGTGGATAGTTTCAGCAGCTTTTGTGCTCAGTGTGTACATCTTTGTTACAGATCGTCTGTGCGGTGTTTGCGGCCCTGCTGCATTTCTTCTTCTTGGCCGCGTTTACATGGATGTTTCTGGAAGGCGTGCAGCTGTACATCATGCTGGTGGAAGTGTTCGAGAGCGAGTACTCGCGCACCAAGTACTTCTATCTCACTGGATACGGAGTGCCTGCTGTTATAGTGGCTGTGTCTGCCGCCGTGGACTATCACAGCTATGGAACCGAAAGAGTGTATGTATATAGCAGATTCAGAGAGAGCGGTGGCCAGCTGGCAATATAATATGCTTTTATAGGGGCTAGCTGTCACACTTTTTTTTACATTCTCAACATTATTGCCCAAGAAAAAAGAAACATGCACCATGTGTGGACAGTATGTGCCATTAGACGGCCTTTTCAGCTAGATTTAACAGTAAAAGAATGATAAATTACCAAATAATTCATGAAACAGCTAAAATTTAAACAATGGCAAAAACATGAACAAAACACTGTTTTTGCTGTCACTGGGGCCTAAGGTACAAAAGTTAAAATGTACTTCTTTGTACCTTTTTTATCCTTAAATGGTACATACTAGTACACATTAGTACTTTAAAAGTACATATTAGGACAGTTTTGTGTATATTTGTATGTATATATATATATATATATATTTGTATGTATATGTATATATATATTTGTATGTATATGTATATATATATTTGTATGTATATGTATATATATATTTGTATGTATATGTATATATATATTTGTATGTATATGTATATATATATTTGTATGTATATGTATATATATATTTGTATGTATATGTATATATATATTTGTATGTATATGTATATATATATTTGTATGTATATGTATATATATATTTGTATGTATATGTATATATATATTTGTATGTATATGTATATATATATTTGTATGTATATGTATATATATATTTGTATGTATATGTATATATATATTTGTATGTATATGTATATATATATTTGTATGTATATGTATATATATATTTGTATGTATATGTATATATATATTTGTATGTATATGTATATATATATTTGTATGTATATGTATATATATATTTGTATGTATATGTATATATATATTTGTATGTATATGTATATATATATTTGTATGTATATGTATATATATATTTGTATGTATATGTATATATATATTTGTATGTATATGTATATATATATTTGTATGTATATGTATATATATATTTGTATGTATATGTATATATATATTTGTATGTATATGTATATATATATTTGTATGTATATGTATATATATATTTGTATGTATATGTATATATATATTTGTATGTATATGTATATATATATTTGTATGTATATGTATATATATATTTGTATGTATATGTATATATATATTTGTATGTATATGTATATATATATTTGTATGTATATGTATATATATATTTGTATGTATATGTATATATATATTTGTATGTATATGTATATATATATTTGTATGTATATGTATATATATATTTGTATGTATATGTATATATATATTTGTATGTATATGTATATATATATTTGTATGTATATGTATATATATATTTGTATGTATATGTATATATATATTTGTATGTATATGTATATATATATTTGTATGTATATGTATATATATATTTGTATGTATATGTATATATATATTTGTATGTATATGTATATATATATTTGTATGTATATGTATATATATATTTGTATGTATATGTATATATATATTTGTATGTATATGTATATATATATTTGTATGTATATGTATATATATATTTGTATGTATATGTATATATATATTTGTATGTATATGTATATATATATTTGTATGTATATGTATATATATATTTGTATGTATATGTATATATATATTTGTATGTATATGTATATATATATTTGTATGTATATGTATATATATATTTGTATGTATATGTATATATATATTTGTATGTATATGTATATATATATTTGTATGTATATGTATATATATATTTGTATGTATATGTATATATATATTTGTATGTATATGTATATATATATTTGTATGTATATGTATATATATATTTGTATGTATATGTATATATATATTTGTATGTATATGTATATATATATTTGTATGTATATGTATATATATATTTGTATGTATATGTATATATATATTTGTATGTATATGTATATATATATTTGTATGTATATGTATATATATATTTGTATGTATATGTATATATATATTTGTATGTATATGTATATATATATTTGTATGTATATGTATATATATATTTGTATGTATATGTATATATATATTTGTATGTATATGTATATATATATTTGTATGTATATGTATATATATATTTGTATGTATATGTATATATATATTTGTATGTATATGTATATATATATTTGTATGTATATGTATATATATATTTGTATGTATATGTATATATATATTTGTATGTATATGTATATATATATTTGTATGTATATGTATATATATATTTGTATGTATATGTATATATATATTTGTATGTATATGTATATATATATTTGTATGTATATGTATATATATATTTGTATGTATATGTATATATATATTTGTATGTATATGTATATATATATTTGTATGTATATGTATATATATATTTGTATGTATATGTATATATATATTTGTATGTATATGTATATATATATTTGTATGTATATGTATATATATATTTGTATGTATATGTATATATATATTTGTATGTATATGTATATATATATTTGTATGTATATGTATATATATATTTGTATGTATATGTATATATATATTTGTATGTATATGTATATATATATTTTAATGAGGAAAAAAAATTAACTTAAATGATTTTAGCAAATGGCTGCAATATAACAAAGAGTGAAAAATTTAAGGGGGTCTGAATACTTTCCGTTATATATATATATATATACATACATAGCCCTCTTCAATTAGAATATTTTTATGAATTTTGTCCTTCAAACTAAAGTACTGTTGTATAAATGAGTTAACACAATAAAAATAAAACCATACTTTCTGGCAACTATATAGTCAACTATATTGTTCTTACATGTCAGGTCGGGGCAAGTTGTCACATTATTTAATTTATATTAAAGGAAATTAACACCTTTATTTAGCAAGCACACACATTACATTGATCAAAAGTGACAGTAAAAGCATTTACATTGTTCAAAAATATTTCTATTTTAAATAAATGCTGTTCTTTTGAATGTTCTATTAATCAAAGAATCCAGAAAAAATTACTCCTTGCCCCGACCTGACATTTAAGAAAAATACAGTTGACTTTATAGTTGCCAGAAAGTATGACAGTGTGCTTTTGTGTTCACTTCTTTATACAACAGTACTTTAGTTTGAAGGACAAAATTCATAAAAAATTTCTAATTGAAGAGGGCTTTGAAAGACACCTTTTGAGTGAAAATACATTTATGCAATGGGACTTTTGACTCAAAACCTTTTACTTTTCTACACTACATAATTAAAAGTACACTTATTTTACATAATTATTCCACACAATATTTGCACAAAATAATCCACTAGAAAAATAAATAAATAAACTAACAATAAAAAACACTTGAAATAAAAAAATTGTATCACTTATATTATTCATTGGCAGAGCTCTTGGTAGATTGTAAAACTGACATAAGGGGGAGGTAACACTTGCATTGGCCAAATTATCAGCCAGTTAATCTGTCTGGCCAATGTATTGGTCTATCACTAGTGTGATGTCCAAAATCCATCTGTCTGCTTCCAATTTTGCTTGCAAAGACCCAGTTGCCTTCTTAAGAGCAATGCTGCCTAATGGTTAAGGAAGATTGTAGGTTCAATCCCAGGATTTAGTAACACAGGAAAAAAGAGTTAGTGAGATCATAGTAGTGCTTTATTAGCACAGTGCCCTTGAGCGAGACACATCACAGCAGACTGCTCAAGGGGGAATGGCTCTGCAATTAGTGCCCTGAAAGTCACTTTGGATAAAAACACGACTGCTTTGTGGCAAATGACTTCATGAGCACAAATAACTTGACTCAAATCAATTATTAATTACTGCATTAAAGGGATAGTTCACCGAAAAATGAAAATTCTGTCATCATGTGCTTTACCCTCATGCCGTTCCAAACTCATACTGTATGATGATATTTGAATAATGTTTCAGCCGTTTTGTCCATAAAATAAGATTCAGTGGGGTCCAAAAATGTTCAACTCTTAAAAGAACATTATTATTATTATTATTATTTAAAATTTATATTAAAGGAAATTAATATCTTTATTTAGCAAACACATATTAAATTGATCAAAAGTAACAGGAAAGACATTTGTAATGTTACAAAAGATTTCTATTTCAAATAAATGCTGCTCTTTTGAACTTTCTATTAATCAAAGAATCCTGAAAAATAAAATGTATCACAGTTTCCACAAAAATATTGTGCAGCACAACTGTTGTCAACATTGGTAATAATCCGAAATGTTTCTTGAGCAGCAAATCAGCATATTAGAATGATTTCTGAAGATCATGTGACACTGAAGACTGGAGTAATGATGCTGAAAATTCAGCTTTGATCACA